AGCTGAATCACAGGCCAGGTTCTAATATTGACGTAGGTGATCCAGACAATTACGTGTGATACACAGCGCCATACAGATATGACTTGGTTATATATAACGTGGATTTAGAAGACGATGATGGGGAGTATGATTGTTATTTTAGTTTACACGGCAATGCAGATGGGGAAGTAGGAACACTTACTGTACTTGGTAAGTTGAAGTCTTCATATTAATATAATATAATACATGTGTATGATTTGAAGAACAAAAATAATGACATATGTACAAAATATTTGATTTGGTAGAATAAACTATCTTGTTAGGATTGTAGTAAGGATTATCATAATAATTTGAAAGTCTATGAAAACAATGTGGTATTATCCACATTACTTTTAACACATTGAAAACTACACAAATGTTATTCCATATGTTATGGGCAGCATACACCACAATGGTTGTTTGTGTGTTAACCTATTGGAGACTTCACATATTTAACCTTATTGGTCATGGGCATTATACTGTGCTATGCATTGCAAAGTGTTATTCAGAAATTTTAGATGAATTTTATGAATTTTCTGCATATAATGGGAAGCATATTATTTGTGAACATATATTAAATGCTTCAGTGTCTATTTTGAACTTTCTTTGAATCTAGATTTATATTAACTACTATACTTCCTGGTATACTAATAAAATAATGGTTTGTACTTCAGATCGAATAGATTCAATAACCATAGTTGGCTACAGTGATGATGCAGTTGTAACAATTGATGAAAATGAAGCAAGGGAGTTTACCTGTGTATCCACCGATGGTAACCCAGCAGCTGAGTTAACATGGACAATAGGTGGTAAAGATATCACAGAATACAGTACATATACAACACAAGTCAGTGATAATAATGAAAAACTACATAACAGTATGAGTGTGTTGAATTATACATTCAACGCATCGGATAATGGAGAGGCTTTGAAATGCCAAGGATTTCAACATGAAGACTTAACAGTTAGAAGTGCTCGTGTTTACATGAATGTAAAACGTAAGTAACATCTGATGTCAGTATTTATTAAGATTTTGAATGTTGGGTTTCTCTGTACATCTGTAGCTGATCTGTAGTTCAACTATTGATTGATGAGAAAAATCCAAAATGGGGTGCACTGATAGATTTCTAATGCTGAACCTGTATAAGCCAGGCTAGTTGAAATATGCACATGCCAGTATACCCTTTCTGTAGAGACCTGACCACCGACCACATCCCTGTCCTAATTGATTTAATCTTTCACTCTCTGCTAATTACAGATAATATACTCTGCATAACAAATATAATAATTGCTAGAGAAATCAATCAAACAAAATG